GTTTTTATTTATTTGTTTATTTCCATAATCTCTGGCTTTTTTGGCGTCCGTCAGGAACTGAATTTCAAAATAAAAATAACCGGAAACAGACGTAGGCCTGTAAGGGACATTTCGAGCATCATTGCGATTGTCAACATTTCTGAGTTTAGGATGGCCATAATCCCCAGCTATCGTTTAGGACTACAGTCCCCGTGATTAATCTTCAAGCTCTGGGATTGGATGTTGGAGTGGCAGTGCACCAAGGTTACGCTCAAACCTCCAGCTGCTGCAATCAGCTGTGCACCCTCCCCTACTACACACCTGATTCCCATCAGCATTTACAAATGCCATATCAGCGGAGGCTCCACAACCTGTCAGCGCCAGATCGTTGTTTAACCCACAGTGGTTAACCTCTCAGCCTTCTTAGCCTTCTTTGTATTATTAGCTATTTTCCTCAACACTGTATATTCTTCTTACGTGTTCTTCTTGTGCTCCAGGGTCACTCTCCGGGCGCCGTGCTGTCATCACCAGCCGCCACCAGTCGCCATTTCCAGCCGGATTATTCTCTACGCTCCTCCACCTCTAAATAAACCTTTTTTCCAACACTTGTCCTGCGTTTGGGTCCTATCGGATAACGGATAACAGGCTATTGTGTTTCGCAAAATGTTCTATGGGACGTCTACTGAATATTTTTGTTTTTCCCACAATTAGAAGTTGCCAGTATTAAACACATTGGTGTTATCAAATGTAAAACATATGATTAATAAATGGGTGAAAATCACTTGTGTCCATAATGCGCAGCATTAATATATACCAATATGACAGCTCATTGTTACTTTGTAATTCTACTCCACTACAATACAATCAATCAATCAATCAATGTTTATTTATATAGCCCAATATCACAAATGTTACATTTGTCTCAGTGGACTTCACAGTTTGTACAGAATATCAGTATGACAATACGACACCCTCTGTCCTTAGACCCTCACATCGTACAAGGAAACACTTCCAGAGAAAACCCCACAGTTTAAAGGGAAAAAAATGGGAGAAACCTCAGGGAGAGCAACAGAGGAGGGATCCCTCTCCCAGGACGGACAGACGTGCAATAGATGCCGTGTGTAAATCGAAAAGATAATACATTTGACAACATAGGTAGACCAAATGTTTGGAAATGCATGTGTCTTTAATAAGAAGATGAATCCACGAGGATGTCAACAATCCTGTGGGAGCCATCAGG